TTAGGGTGGGGGAGGCCCCTGCCTGACACCCATCCCCGCACAGCAGCCCTCGCCCTGCTGCCAGCTGGCACTGGGGGGGTGGGGGAAGCAGGCCCCAGGGTGGCCCCCACCCTGCTGCTGGGGGCTGGCTGTGCCCCCTGCCATGGGGGTGCCTGGGCACAGGCTGGGCCCAGGGGGTTGTGGTTCATAAGCCCTCAGTGCACCCGCCCCAGGGGGGCCTGTCCCTGCTGCGGGGAGCTGCGCTGCGGAGCGGCAGCAAACGGCCCCTGGCCTCCCCCTGGCCCCCAGCTGCCCCAAAGCTTGCTGTGCAGCCGGTGCTCTGCCCCAGCACCCTCCTTGGCTCGCCTCTCCCTGCCTCTCGGGCAGAGGCTTTGAGCAACGCAGCCTTTATGCTGTTGTCACCACCCGTAGTAATGAAGTCTGTGGAGCAGCTGCCGGGCTCTGCACTGGCCGATCATTCTGTCTGCCTTCCCCCTTTGTGGGTGGGGTGGGTCTGGACCGGGGCAGGGCTTGGGAGTGTCCCTGAGGCCTGGAGTGTGTGTGTGGATCCCTTGACACCATGTGCTGCTCTCGAGGATCAGGCCCTGCGAGAGAAAGGTACAGCCCCACAGGGATGAAGCTGCCTTGTGCTGCCGGAGGAGGCAAAGCCCTGAGCTGCTGAAGCCTCGGCAGGCCAGGCTGCATGTGAGCAGCGTGGCTGTGGTCAGCAAGGTGCCCTGGGGAGCATCAGTACCTCCGTGTGGTTTGCAGAGGTGGAGACAGGACTGGCCCCAGATGGGAGGGTGTGCACCGGCGAGCCTGGGAGATGGCTGTGGCATGTGCCTGGCACGGGAAAAGGCCCTGGCAGTCAGATATGCTTGTGTGGGCAGAGGCAGTGCTGGACGTGGTCTGTGTCAGGTGATGGTGGAGGATAGGATGCTCAGCTGAGTGCTGGGGAATGGTTCCTGGAGTCTCTTTCTGATGAGGATGAGAGTTGCTTCGTTTGTGCTCTTCCCTTCTCCTCCTGTTGTGCTTCAGCTATGGCTGTTGTTCTAGGCTGTAACTTCTTTCCTTTTAACTGCTGCGGCATTCCCCAAGAAAACTTTTAATCTGCATTTTCTTGCCTAACCCTGCCTATCCTGGAGTTAAAACTGGTGATAAGAGCGTAGCTCTATCGTTATTGCCAGCCCAGCTCTCTGCACCTGCTTATATCCCTCTTACTGCAAGTGCCCTTGCTTTGGAGGATGACAGTAAGTCACACCAGATTCCTCCACATCTCTGACAACCAGAGCAAGGGGCTGAGGCTGAGCCCATGGCCTTACTTTGGGAGCAAAGCCCCTTGTGTTACTTCTTTTACGGCTGTTTTACGGTCAGTGATGCTGGGATGTGTGACCCTGATGGATACAGGTGTGCGAGCAGAAGCCTCTAGTGCAGAAGGGTTGTGGTGAAAGCAATCCAAGGGAAGTATGGAATAGGCTACAGCTGTGACAATGAATTTGTTAGCTTAGCGAAGGCCGTGCTAGCAGGATTTCACTGGAATTGTGTTTTAATCTCAGTAGAGTGTTTTAAGTGTTAACTTCTTCCTCTGCTGGCAGCACAGGTCAGGAAAGGGCAGTGCTTGAGACCATCTTCACCAGTTCTGC